TAAGCTCAGCTGAGCTGGGCTGGGCTGGGCTGAGCTGGGCTGAGCTGGGCTGAGCTGGGCTGAGCTGGGCTGGGCTGTACAACCAGCCCACCGTGCAGCCGCCGCCCAGGTGAAAAAGCAAGAGTCGCCCGAGGGCCACCCGTGTAACCTGCCTGCCCTCAGCAGGTGCTGGAGTCTCATCTGTATTTACTTCTGGCCCAAGAAGCAAGGCAGTATAATAATTTTTAAATGGCCAGATAGTCACAGTGGTGTGCTAATTTCCAGCCATTGTCTAGTGTCACTTTCATCTTCTTAATGAGAGCAGAAGCAGAGCTCCTGAAAGCCACACAATGGGCTCAGTCTGCACCCTGCTGGGCCCAGGCACTTCATTAAGTGGACTCTAAAGAATGACAGGCTTTGCACAGGACCCACTGTCCTGGAGCAGAATAAATGGTCCCTGCAGCAAGGACAGGAGAAAAGAACACCACATTACTGGTTTTATTAGTATTATTATTATTAAAGCAGCTAGAGGAAATTAGAGAAAATGAACATGCACAGACATGTTTAAAATAATTATTCTCTCTCCACCCTAAGCCTATGCCAAGCCCTCATGTGTTACTTTGCTAAGATTTTACACTCCAGTCTCTTTTTTGGAGTCACAGCAGACATGCTACTGACCAGGTCACCAGCCCAGTCCCTGCTGCAGCACGTGGCCATAAACTCTTTGCTGTCTGGTTACCTAGGGCACCATCAATTCTCCAAGGAGGCATGTAGCCTCATGATGACCCCATCTCAGGAGCTGGTCACACATCAGCAGTTCCCCTCGTATGAACACTGCAGAACACCTCTAGGCTTTCTCTCCCACTGTGCAGACTGTCCCATGGGTTCAGCTTCTCAGCAGGGACACAGCACGCTGAATTCCAGGAAAAGCCCCACAGCTGACACTCCCATGGCAATGGAAAACTGTTGTACTCCCACCCTTTGCTTTAGGCAGAACTGAAATCTGTAAATCTACATGCTGTAAGCAAGAGTCATCTGGGAGCTACAGCCAAGAGAAATCATCCAGTGGCTAAGAATTGGCACTGTGGGCTTCCACTGGCCTCTGTGGCCGCTGTACCGAGTCACACCAGCTCTGACAGCTCCACGTCTGCGTGAGGAAAAGCCAGTCACATCTGGGTGCTACCACCACATTCAGTCAGGTGTTCTGTGGTCCCTGGTGCACCAGCTCCCACGTCCCAACCACCCCACCCCACCCTGAGCTCTCAGAAAGCAGGCGCTGCCTCCCTGGCTACGTCACCCGCGGGGCGCTGCCCTGGGCAGGCAGAGGAGTGGAAGTGCTGCTACCGTTTTTTCTGCAGAGCTGAGAAGTTTTTTTTGAAGGTAGGGCTGATCTGGTTCAGTAGTTCCACCAAGGAATGACTGAGAAAACTGGGGTTTGCAGGTTTGGGATTGAAGTTGTATGCAGTAGATCTGCAAAAGGAAGAAGAAACGCAGTCACAAGCTGTTGTCATACCCGAGACTTCCCGTACCCTAGGAACGTGGCAGATGAACAAGAGCTGTCCATATATGCACCACACAAAGCTGGCACCACGTGCCCGTGCTTGCAGAATGGAGACCACGTGGCACACGGGCAGATGGGCTGCAAGGGCCCTCTGCAGTCTCTCCACAGGAGGTACAGCCAGCAACCCTGTACCTTGATGGATTGCACAGAAAGTCTAACCTGAGCTTTCTTCAGCCATCACCAGGCTCAAGAAAGGTTTATATTTTCATGGCTGGGAAGGCCTGATTCCAGAGCTCCCCAAACATGCCCAAAGGGCCTTTGCTTAACAGAGAACCCATGGCAATGGCACCAGCCACACAAACAGTTGGTGCTCTCTCAGTGCAGTTATGGTTGCCCAGGCAATTATCTGGATTGCAGCATCGAGGCCACCCAGAGCTGTTTCTGAGCTGATGGTTGCTCAGGTACAGCAGGGTTTGTTGCTCTGAATTTCTCTCCTGTCCACCTTCAACTCAACAGGTCTGTGTTACAGGCTATTGGGCCGGAGGGACCCTGCACCTCCCTCAGTACAGCCACTCTGAGGCCCAGGCACAGCCACTTGAACAGCCTCTCACAGCCACTGTTTTTTTTAAAAAAAGTCTAGTCAAATCTGTGCCCAGCTCAGGAAGTTCTGACAGGCTGCACTTCTGCTTTAGGGCAAAATGAGATAGTCGTGGTGGTCAGGAAGGAATTCCCTCCCAACTCAAAATGCTCTAATTAGTTGATGACATTATGGAATGTTTAAACTTTCCCTAAAGCATCAGGCGTTTATCCACTGTGGAGAAGTGGTACCAGGCATAACTGAACAGCCCAATCCAGTAGAGCAACTCCTACAAACCCAGGTGAGCAGCCAATTAAAATAGGCTATTTTCCAGAAAAAATAATAGTAATTAAGAGAGAGCAACGATGGTTTGTTTGTGGGTTCTCTTCCAGCTGGCTATCGCAAGCTGGCTGCTGCAGGGCAGGCCAGGAGGACTGGCAGTGACTCACTGGTTCAGGTAGAAGCCCCGGGTGGACGCGGTGATGCTGACGTGCCGATCCTCCACCGTGATGACGTACAGGTACATGAGGTCCCCGTGCATCTTCCTGTTGCCAGGCGGAGGGTTCCAGCCACTCATGGTCAATACCTTTAGGCACTGCAAAGGCTATGGAAGAA